TGTATCCTTGGGCATGTGGAGGTATTATTGATTTGAGAAAATGCTCAGTAACTGATTTATTATCTGAAAAATGTAAAGTTCTGAAAGTTTAAGGTCTCTTGCCAAAAAGAGGTTTTAAAGCTAACACCTTAATTTTAATGGAGAAAGGGAATGACAAGCCCTCCCCACCCAGAACAGGTAATCCAATTCCAGCCAGCAGCTATGTTTAAACAATGTGTCCATTTACACTTGAATGGCTACACCTTTTGATAGCCTAAGGGCAAGTTTACATGTAAACAAGTTTGCTCTCAATGCCCAGGGCAGAAAGAAAAAAAAAAAACAGGGTTTAAAATTATTAGATTTTAAAATTTATTCTTAGAAGTGTAAAAGTTTATTAAAAAAAAAAAAAAGGAGACTAAAAAACCTGATGAACAATAATAGCCGTTCATTGTAGTAGAGTCGGTGATACGGGAGGGGAGTGAACTGACTGTGGGGGGGGGGGCTGAACATAGACTGTGCACCTATGGATGAGGACAATGGGGGGTGGGGAGGGGGTGGAGGGTGGGGGTGGGAACCTGGTGGAGGGGGCAAGAAATGAGGAACCTTTGTAATATGAACAATATTGATTTTTAAAAAAAAGGTGTGTGTGTGTGGGGGGGGAGCCCTGGCCCAGTAGCTCAGTTAGTTAGAGCTATGTCCCAATATGACAAGGTTGCAGTTTGATTCCCCAGTCAGGGCACATATAAGAATCAAACAAATGGCTCTGTCTGGTGGGGCTCAGTGGTTAGAGTGATGGCAGAGCACCAAAGGTTCATGGGTTTGGTTCCTAATTCCTGGTCAAGGGCACAAACCTAGGTTGCAGGTTTGATCCCCAACCCCAGTCAGGGTGTGTGCAGGCGGCAACCAATGGGTGTATATCTCTAGCATCAATGTTTCTGTCTCTCCATCCACCCCTGCCTCCCTCCCACTCTCCCTAATGATCAATGGAAAACACCCTCAGATGAGGATTAACAACAAAAATGTAGCATCTTGCCCAAAAGTCAGCACACAGGTGGCAAGCAGCACTGAGGATGTGAGCGGGTTTCACAACTCTCTCCGCCAGAGCACGTAGTCTGCCCCTGAAGCAAACAGGACATTAAAGGTGACTGTGCCTGGCATCACCACAGACTCAGTGATGAAAGAACCTGATTCATGATGACCTGGGAAACGGCTTGATGCTACCTGCTATCACCTTCTCAATCAGAGGCACGCATTCCACCTCTGACCACCAGCTCGAGGGGGCCCCCTGCACACCACTTCACACGTGACCGCTCGCAAGACTCACCATCACCCCGACTTCTCCTTTGGTGAAGACTGCTTCAAAGTATGTGTGACTCACAAACCATTCTTTGTGAATTTTAGGATATCTATAAAACTGATTTTTAAGATGAAACTAAAGCACAGAAAATAATGTGCTCAAAGAGGTACATAGAACCAGCAATGAAAAGCAATGAAAAGCAGATCAAGATGCCCCTTCAGTAAGATTATTCCACAGTAAAGGGTAATACATTTTTTAATACCAGTCAACTCTGAAGTGATAGTTGAACCAAGACAACCACAATTTTCAAATCTGATTAAATTTATTGGGTTCAATGTTCCAAATATGGGTTGCATGTTTAAAGGCCCATTACCACAAAAATATGTACCATTAACATTTCCTCTTCTGCAAGAGTCTTAATTTTACTATCATGTGAACTGTGATACTGAGAACCAAGGCAGGGAGAAGGGACAGTAACAAGTGTTCAGAAAACAGGGCTGGAGTCACCCCGAAGCCCTGCCCCTGTGAGCCTCCAGCCATAAGACAGAAAGAGGAGTCAAGCACCACCCACCCAATGCACAGCCCCAGCTCCTTCCCCTCTGCTGCTCCCTGGGAACGCGCACTTTTTGTACAGAAAACACACTCACGTCAAAACAAACCCTGCTCTGCCAGAAGATAGAAGCCACGGGTGGGGTGGAGGAAGCATGCCTCCCTCACTGAACTAGCAGAAAGGACACAGCAGCACATGCTGTGGAGTTGGGACGGGAAAGCTGGCCTAGACACCAGTAAGAAGAAAGCCTCAGTTAAAGGAATACAAGGAACAACATAAACTGAGCAAAAACAGATGCAGAGACAGAGAAGCATCAAACAGTCAAACCTCAGAGGGAGGGGGGAGGGGCAGGGAGAGATCAACCAAAGGACTTACAGGCCGGCATATGAGCATTACCAATGGACACAGACACTAGGGGGGGTGAGGACATGTGCTGACAGGGGGGGGGGGAGGGTGGCTGGGGAGAGGTCAGTGGGGGGAAAAGAGACATATATAATACTTTAAACAATAAAGGTTTTGGTTTTTTTTTAAAAAAGTCAATGTCAAAAAAAAGGTATAAGACTGCATTTTGCTTTGTTTTTTGCTGTTTTTTTTTTTAACAATATATTTTATTGATTTTTTTACAGAGAGGAAGGGAGAGAGATAGTGAGCTAGAAACATCGATGAGAGAGAAACATCGACAAGCTGCCTCTTGCACACTCCCTACTGGGGATGTGCCTGCAACCAATGTACATGCCCTTGACCGGAATCGAACCCGGGACCCTTCAGTCCGCAGACCGACGCTCTACCACTGAGCCAAACCGGTTTCAGCTGCATTCTGCTTTGTTTTTAAATCAAACTGATAAAACTTTTTCCATCGTTATAAACAGATGCTTACAAGTTATGCCATAAATCACTGAATTAATCTAGGTCTTAATTAGATCAGAAGAGCTGAATCAGCATGTCAGGGCCACTTACTTCACTACTTACAGGGATGAGAGAAATGAATTTTCCTTGGAATACTAGGGATTAATAGGTGGTTCCTGGTTTCAACCATTTGCTTTTTTTTTTTTAAATATATTTTATTTATTTTTTACAGAGAGAAAGGGAGAGGGGTAGAGGATTAAAAACATCAATGAGAGAAACATCAGCTGCCTCCTGCACACCACCCACCGGATGCGCCCACAACCAAGGTACATGCCCTTGACCGAAATCGAACCTGGGACCTTAGCTGACGCTCTATCCACCGAGCCAAATCAATTAGGGCTTAACCATTTGCTTTTAAAGCTAAATAGGGTAAAGGTGAGAGACTGGGGGAAAATAAAGTCTGACTTCAAAAAAAAAATTGAAATCAACTTCTTCTACTCACACATCTTTACCACAGGGAGGAAAAGGGCTTTCTGCTGAGTTTCACATTCACCTGCCTGTTCAAATTCTGACAGAAAGAGAGAGATGCATTCAAAACCCAGGCAGGGCCTGGCTGTGTGACTCAGTTGAGTGCACCAACAGGTCATGGTTGGATTCCCCTCGGGGCACAGGCCTGGGTTACAGGCTCCATCCCCAGCGTGGGCGAGAGGAGGCAGCCCATCCATGTTTCTCATCCAAGTTTCTGTCTCTCCCTCTCCCTCTCCCTTCCTCCCTCTAAATAAAAACTATAAATAAAAACGCATTAAAAAAAAAAAAAAAAAAACAGGCAGGAGAAATAGTAACAATCAGTCTCCATCCATGCTACTCCTCACTAGTACTGAGGGGGGGAATAGTCTTGTGTATTCCAAAATGGAAGTCCTCTCTCCCTTACCTTTATGTTGTGTGAGCGACACCTAAAACACTCCCCAGGAACACTGAGCCCACAGTGCCCAGCACTCAGCCTGACACAGCAGGGTCTGAACGCACTCTATGCCCATCAGATGCCCTTCTAGGCGACCTGGAACTATTATTGCTGAGACCCAGGCCCTGGGCAGGGAGACGCCGGCAGCACACTCACTGCCCTACCGCTGAGGGGCAGGTCTCTATCCCCACAAACAGGCAAGGGCAACTCAAAACACATTAGCTGTTCCAAAGAGGGGCACAACTCTAAGGTCAGGCTCCATGCCACGCGGAGCTGGGCATCGATCCCACAAGAATGCCAGGCATCTGTTCTCACTCGGGCCTCCTTCTTAAGAAAGCTCTCCAGACCGACATCACCAAAGCGTGCCCAAACTGGCCAACTTACACTCACAGGCAAGCCCGTGCTCCCTGCGCTACAACGGGATGGACTTGACCTACAGATGCAGAGGGTCCGCTGTGACCAAGAGGCGGTGCTTCCCCTGGCGGCCGCGCGGGGGCCGGGGCTGCGGGGCCCGCCGTCCTGTCACCGTCAGTCCCGGCCGTCAGTCCGTCTGGTCCGTGAGGACCAGAGGGAGGGTGTGGGGGGAGGGAGGAACCGAACCCCAGCGGCTGGAGAAGGCAGGCAGCCCCGCTGGCCTCCCTCCGCGCCAGGAGCGGGTGGGAGGTCCCACCGCCAGGAACCAGGACTCCGCGGGTCCCCGCTCGGAGCATGCCCGGGCTGGCACCGGAGCAGCCGCGGGGAGCGGAGGCCGTTCCGGGACCACACCGGCTCCCCGGAGAGGCGTTCGCTCGGGCACTATTTCCGCCCAGAGACCGCGGGGCCTCCCGCCCGCCGCCTCCCGCCCGCGGGGTCTGCTGGCCCCGGGCTCCTCGGGCCGGCGGGACGGTCAGCCGCGTCCTCCGGGACGGGGTCGCCGCCCGCAGCCTCGGGAGCGGCCGGACCGCGTGCACGAACCCACCGATTCCTTTGTCTGGCGCCCCGGCACCGCCGGCTCCGCGGAGCAGCCGCGGGAGGAGCCGCGGGGCAGGCGGGCTCGGGCGCGGAGCTCCGGCCGGGCTGCGGCGCGGCAGGTCCCCCCGCAGAGGAGGGGCGGGGGCGCACCGGCGGGCGGCCCCTGCGGCCCGGGCCTCGGAGGCGGGGCGGCCGCCGCAGGGGAGGCCCCGGAGCCCAGGCCGCCAGGGCCCGGCTCGCGGGATGCTCGCTCTCCCGCACGGCCCCTCCCGCGGCCGAGGCGCCGCAGCCCGTCCGCACCGGCACCGCCGGGCCGGGCAGGGGCGGCCGGCCGGGCGGCCCCGCGCTGCTGTTCTCGCCGCGGACGGCGGGCGCGCACGGAAAGTTGCCCGCGGGCCGGCGGCGGCGCTACTCACCGGGGTCGAAGTCGGGCACGGCCGCCTGGTACTGGGGTCCCACCCGCATGCCGCCGCCACCTGCGGGGAAGCAGACACGGTGAGCGGCGCGGGGCCGGGGCGCGGGGCGCGGGGCGCGGGCGGCTGCACCTACCGTGCTCCTCGTCGCTGGACGAGCCCGAGCTGCCTTCCTCCCAGGAGTTGCTGCTGCTGTTGCCATTGGGCGCCGCCGCCGCCAAACTTTTATTCTGCCCGTTGCCGGGCGCGGCGGCCGCGGCGGCGGCGGCGGCGGCGGAGACTGCGGCGGCCGAGGCGGCAGCGGCGGGGGCGGCCGAGGCGGCGGCGCTGGCCGCGTTGTTCCGCCCTCTCCGCTTCCCGGACACCTCGGGGCCCTTCTCCACCATGGTCGGCATCGGCGGGGCCGCGGCCGCGCGCGAGTGACGGGGACCCCGGCTCCTGAGGGGGCGCCGGCACTGGACGGGGCCGGGGGCGGCGGGCGCGGCGCGGGCGGGCGCGGCAGGGGCTGGGGGCGGCCCGGGCGGGCGGAGCGCGGCGCCGCTTCAAGCCCCCAGCGCCGAGCCGAGCGCAACTTTCGCTCTCATCGCCGCCCGCACTTCACGGGCTCCAACTACTCCGGGAGCAGCGGGCGGGAGGGAGGGGCGGGGCCTGGCCGCGGGGGGGAAGCCGCGCGCAGCCCAACCCGCCGCGGAGCGGCTCCGCCCCCGCGCGCTCCCATTGGCTCTCGTGGGATTTGGACGGCGAGCCGCCTCCCGGTTGGCTCGGCGCGCCCGTCTATCCCGGGCGCGGGGCGGGAGCAGGGGCGGGGCGCGGGCTTCCGTTGGTCAGGTTCGGTAGACGCGTATCGCCCGCTGTACGTGGTTTGAGGTTTGCAATCTCTCGACGCCCCATGATCCCTCTCTCCCGGCGCCGCGAGGAGCAGCGCTCCCCGCCCCCTCCCGCCGCCGGGGCGCCCCCTCCCCTGCGCGCACCCCGGCGGCCTCGGCCCCCACACCGGCGAGGGACCCCGCCGAGGGTCCCATCGGCCTTAAAAAGTAAAAATGTGGGCGACGCGAGAGCAGAAATTGAATGGAAGGTCGGGACTACTTTCCCCTCGCGCGGAGGAGTACATTCAGTTTGAATGGGGCCATACAAAGAGGAACTAATTGAAAGAAACTAATTGCGCCCCCACTTTCCCCAAGGGGTTCGGGGGTGCCACGGGGCCCGGGAGCCCTGGTGCCGAGGGCGGGGGCCCCGGGGGACAGCCTCCAGGGGGGAAGGCGGCGGTGCGGCCGCTCGCGGGGTGCGCCCTGCCGGCCGGTGGGGGAGGTGGGGAGTCACCGGAGTCGCCCGAGTTTCGGGGCGCCCGCCGAGGCCGGGCGGGAGGTCCCCGCGGTCCCGCCGCCGCTGAGAGACCAGCGCAGGCACGGGGGGGGGGAGGGGGAGGCAGAAACGGGGGGCCTGGAAAAAGGGGCTGGGGGCCCGGATGGGTGAAGAGGAAGAAGCTATTTTCATCCCAAGCCCGGGCGAGGGGAGGAGGGCCAACTTCCTCCCAGGCAGGAGCCACTTTTCCGGACCCGCAGCCGGCCGCCCCGCCCCGCTCCGCTCCCCCCCCGCCCCCCGCCACGGGCCCGAGAGGGAGCGCGACCCCGTCCTAGACCTCCCTGCCCTCCCCCACCCCCACCCCCAGACCGACCGCGGGGCCTTAGGGTCCTGGAGGGTCGGCGTCCGCCCCACTCCCACCCCCAGGCTGTTGGTCCGCAATTAGCAAGCGAGAGGTCTATAATTGAATTTTGTAAATGCAGCGACGGCTATTTTCCTTTTAAGTTACTTCAAACCTGAGCTTAATATGGGCACAGTTTACACCAGCTCAGGGTTATAAATAGCCACCGGGAGAAATCTGGAGTTTTATGGTTTTATAGCCCAAATAACTACTGTTCGCTTCTATGGTGTGCTTTTGTTTTGTTTTGTGTGATTTTTCCAGCATGAACCATTATTAACAACTTCAGAGAAGTGGCCAGGTTGGCTCCTGCCTACATGGCTTTGAGATAAAGGGCTGGGAGCCCTCCCTTCCCCAGGAGGATCCCGTCCCCACCGAGTTCACAGCCCGACGGGTCTGCCCTTCCAGGGGGAGCCTGGCCTCGGAGAGCCGCAGGCAGTGCAGGGGTGAGATCCTGGCACCCCCTGCCTGCTGGCCTGGGTGGGGTGTAGACAGCAAAGCCAGGGGAGAGGTCTGAGGTGGCATTCCCCAGGGGCTGGTGGCCCAGGGCTGTGACTTATCTGGAAGTGAGCACTGCTTGAGAAATGGGGCAAAGAGTGGGATGCTCAGTGGGTGTCTGAAGTTCTACCACTGAGCTCTGGAAAGACTGGCCTACGAGGGCACAGGTAACCCTGAGTCATGTCTTAGGGTGGGAAGTCACCAGCCCCACCCACCAGCTCCAAGCTTGGGGTGCCTGGCACCTGGAATAGACTGTGGATACATCACTGGGCTGTCCCACCATTCACATTTCTCAACAAACACATGAGCACCTAACAGACCCTGTACTGGCTGGTCTGACCCCAAGGCCACTTGGGTACTGCACTGGCCTTGAACCTCTCAGCTTCCCCATCAGTGAAACAGATAACAATACTACTTCCTGGCCTCCCAGCTCCTCCTCCCTTCCTCCACGGGAAGCCCTCCAACCGCTCCTGCCCGGCCTGAAGCTCCAGTGCCTATAGCTCTGGTGGGTGGGTGTGGGTATGGGGTACAGACAACCTTTCTGATTGGGAATTTGTGATAAACTTCACAAATTCACAGAGTCAGCAGCTCACCATGTTTTTCAGCAACATCCTCTCCCCCTCTGCCCACCCCTCACAGACCCTCCTGCCCTCACACCCAGCGCCAGACCTCACCTCCCTCTTCAGTGAAAAAAATGGAAGCCATCACCTAGCACCCCTCTCATCTCCTGGATCTCCCAGCCTGGCACCCCCTGCCCTGTGGGCTCTCCTCCCCTGAGCTTGATCTGGGCGCCCTCCCCCTGCTGCCCTCCCCTCTATGTTCTCCTGAGCCTTCAACCTTCGCACCCCTGCACAGTATTTCCAAAAAGAGTGGGAAGTTCTCCCTTGCTGCTACATGTCCTCCTGCCTCCTCCCATTTCTCTGCTCCCCCCGCTGGAAACGCCAAAGGTGGAATACTACGCAGCAGTAAAAAAGGAGCTTACCCTTTGGGACAGGGTGGAGGCCCTGGGGAGCATCATGCCAAGTGTAATAAGCCCATCAGAGAAAGACCAGCATCTCATGATCTCACTCATATGTGGAACCTAATGAACAAAATAAGCTGATGAACAGAGTGGACCCAGAGACATGGAAGCATGGAGCAGAGTGGGGAATCTCGGAAGGAGGGCGGGAAAGGTGGATGGGAGGTGACCAACCAGAGACCATGTGTGCACATGCATGGCCCATGGCACAGCAGGGAGAGTGGTGAGGGCCGGGGGCAGGCTGGGCTGGAGGGGGTTGATGGGGGGAAAGGAGGACATGTAATACTTTAAACAAAGATTTTTAAAAATGCGTCCATACCTGCCTTCTCCACTCCCTACCTTCCCAGCCTCCTCACCTGAGCCCACACGCCTCCCCGAAATCCCCTCGTTCTCCCACCGCACAGAGCACCCCCTCAGCTCCCTCTGCTGCCTCCACCCCCTCCTTCAGGCCGTGATTGTCAGGGTTCCTTCTGGCCCCCCTGCTCTGTGCCTAGCGCCTGTTAAACATTCATTGAGAAATGAGACAGGAAATTAAGGTCAGGGCGCTGTGGGTGCACAGAGGGGGGGCTCCTGGAATAGGGGGGCCTGACCAAGAGGTCAAATAACGGGGGCCAGGGCCTGGGGCCGCCCAGCCCAGCTCCTGCCCTCCTCTACAGCCTCCTCCGGACCAGGTGTTGGCAGGCCGGCCCCACCCCAGCACGTGCCCCAGGCCTGGCCAATCAGCGCGCCCCAGCCCTCTGGCGGCAGCGATTGGCTCAGGCGTGGACACGTGACCTGGCCAGCCCAATAAAAGCCCATCAGGCACTGGATCCTTGGGGAAGAGGTCTCTCGGGAGCCTGGGCCCAGGCCCGGGAAAGGCTGGAGGAGGTGCCCTGGAGAGCGGCTCTGCCCCTGGAAACCCCACCTACCGCAGCCTGCGGCGGGAGGGCTGTCCTGATAGGATCTGTGAACCCTCCCAGTGCCCCCCACCAACAGTCCTGGAATCCGGGCCTCTGAAGTGAGCAACTTGGAGTTTCTGTTACAACTCCGAGTCCAGAATGATACAAATAACCAGACATCCCTCACCCCGTGCAGAACAGGAAGGAGCATGCAAGCCAAGACACAGCATCCCAGTCTCTCTCGGGAAAGGCTTACGACAACAGCTGTCGTCCGGGTGTGGCTGTGCCCGTCCCACTCTCAGCTCTAGTAATCCGCCCGGTGATCCCACCAGGTGAACGGTTATGACGGCGCATCTATGCCCAGAGTGGAGGGAACTGAGGCTCCCAGCAGCTGGCGAGGGAAGAGGGCAGGTCTCGGCCACAGAGTTTGCAGCCCTGGGCCTCCCGGCACACCGGAGGCTGGAGGGCAAGGGGGCGGATGAACACTGATTGTACAGAGTGTTCATAATGATTAATTATGCAGGGTTGTGGGTTTGTTTGGTTTTTTTCAGTTATTTTTAGTGTTATTTTTTATTTTATTTATTGATATTTTTCTTTTTTGGGGGAGAGAGAGAGAGGAACATGGATTTGTTGCTCCACTTGTGTATGCATTCATTGGTTGATTTTGGTATAAGCCCTGATTTTGGATCAAGCCCACAACCTTGGTATATTGGGACAATGCACTAACCAACTGAGCTACCTGGCCAGGGAATTTTTGTTGTTAATCCTCACCAGAGGATATTTTTCCATTGCTTTTTAGAAAGTGGAAGGGTGGGCCCTGACTGGTTCGGCTCAGTGGATAGAGCGTCAGCCTGCGGACTGAAGGGTCCCAGGTTCGATTCCAGTCAAGGGCATGTACCTTGGTTGCGGGCACATCCCCGGTGGAAGGGTGGAAGCAGAGGGAGAGATGGGGAACAAGAGAGAGAGAGAGAGGCATCAACTGGTTGTCTCTGGCACATGCCAGGGATCAAACCTGAATGGCCCTTGATCAGGAATTGAACCCTTGGCCCTTTGGTGTGAGGGCTGGTGCTCTAACCACTTAGAACACTGGTCAGGGCCAATTTTTTAGTTTTAGCATTAGTATTGTTGGATGGCTTCTTAGAAAATACTTCTAAGCAAGGAACAACTTCCCCACAGCTGGAGCCAGATCAAGAGTGGTGGCCTGGGCTGGGGGAACCAGAAACCCACCCTGAAGCCAGTCTTGGACGTTTCAAACCCCCAAAATACAATTCAGAAATATAGGCTTTGGGCAGGAATTTTGCT